AGGATGTATTTTTAATAATTTTAGATTTTAGTTTTTAGGTATATATTTTATGGCAGGTCCACACCAGCCCTCTGGGTTGCCAGACGCAGACCTGCCTCGTCAAAACAGAAAGCAAGAATTAACAGGCAAAGAAGTAGCGAAGATCGTGAAAAAGAGCAGGCCAGCGCTGGAGAAGGAGGCGAAACAGTACTGAACAATGCCGTGAATTATAGTGAGTCAAGGGCTAGAGAAAGGAGGGGAAATAATACCGAACAATGCCGTTAAGCAAAGCTAATGAGGGCTATAGAAAGGAGGCGAAAGTACCCGACAAATTGACTCAGAAGACTGTAGAACTCCCAAGTTTAAAATTCCCGCGAAGTGATGCTGTGCAGCCGTGCAAGAAAATTCAAAAGTCACATGATTTGGTCCGGGTGATGAACAAGAGAAATCAAACTTGCCTGATTGTTTACAGAAGTTACAGAACAGTAAACGCAGCGGAAGAAAGTGGTTGATTCATTGATCTATCGAAAATATTACTTCAGTTCAGTCTTCACAACTTTTGCTGCAAGTTTCTGCCTGGAAGATTTACTCTGGCCGAACTGAATTGTCAACTTGCGGTAAGTGACTTTTGTTGTGGTGTTTGCGATGAACATTAACAAGTTGCTTCGGCGATATAAGCTTATTTTCAATTGGAATCCGTTATAAAGTCTTTCTTATTTGAAGCCATGCTGTGAGAGATTTAAAAAATTGCATCGTTTTAATTTCGCTCATCTCTAAACAATAACATGTGAGTCGCTTTGTGGAGGTTGCTGTAAGTTGTAAACAAATTAAGTTTTCTGTCGATTTTCGTCGTCAACTTGAGCCTATAACCTCACGTCTAAAAATAAGCTTAACCAAAACCATTTTTGTAAACACGGCCGGGCAAGTTTTAAAGTTTTCTCTGAGTTAGTTGGCACAGCCGCTTCGTAGACCGCTAAAATTTCTTCCTCTGTTGATGAAAACCAAGACTCGTGAGGTCTACAAAACATTTTAAGCCAAAGCAAACAGGATTTGCTAAATTTACTTTTGTTCCTATGTGAATATTTGCATATTGTTATTACAAAGTATGGAGATTTCCTTGTTTTGTTAGTTCAATTTATTCGGTTTGGCGAAAAGCATGGGTGAATTCCTGGTTAATTTGGTTGAAGACTGGTAAAGCTACCACTAATAAAATGACTGCAAAGCTAAATTATTTAAGCTGTCAGCAAAAATATAGACTGTCAGTAATATGAATAATTATTTAACTTTAACACTGCAAGCTTAAACGAATTTTCTTTATCCTTTCTTTTATTCCGTCAC